CAATCAAAGCAATGTTCGCATGAGCTATGCGCCCACGAACACAGTCACTGAGGGGCATAGTAGTAACTGTACACCTTGTTTTATACAATACGGTTTTGGAACACATTTACCACACTTTTATGAGAATTTAAAACAATCCATGGATTATAGATTTTTTATTTTATGTACTTTTTCAATAGTGGGTGTGCCGCTCCTAACTAGTGGGGTGCTGGTCCATTGTGCGGTCAATCGCCTCTTTTTTCATTTTCCTACACGAGAGCCAACTCAGTGCAACTTCCTGCTCTTTGGAGTCAGTTAAAGGAGAAGTTTGCTTTTTTACAACCAATTCTCTATTTTTTATGTAAATGTTTGTTATAGAAGGGTCCAGAGACTTTTTGGGCGATTTCACTTGTTTTTGAGAAACTTACCCCAACCAGCCATTTTCTCATCCTTGTTGTGCAGTACGGGGGCTCTTATAAAAACATAAACAAATGCTCCAAAAACACCCAAATACGTCCTTTTAGAAGCAGAAATGCTCTCAGTATAGGGATGCAGGTCTATGGATGTTTTACACATGAAATTGTGTCATCCATTTTATCTGCAACGTTATATTACATTTTGTGCAACTTGTGCCGTTTTTCCAATCCAGCTGTTCTATTCTCCTTATAGCCTGCTGCTACAGGTAACTTCCAAAATAAAGGAAAAACCAACATAAAGTGTCTTAATAGGGCTTTGGGGCCACCATGAGCCGCCAGAACAGCTTCAATACGCCTTGGCATAGATTCTACAATGGTGTGGAACTTCCTGTGTGGAAGCACCTGCTTTCAATATACTTTGTGTCCTTCATTTACTCAAGTGTTTCCTTTCTTTTGGGAGTTGCCTGAAGGATGTATTTGGGTGTTTTTGAAGTCTTTGTTCATGTTTTTTCAGAGCCGCCGTACTGCACAACAAGGATGAGGAAATTAATCGCTGATTGGGGGTAAGTTTCTCAAAAACAAGTGAAATCGCAAAATAAGTACCTGGACCCTTCTATATATAACATGCAGTTTCCATCAACAATAGAGATTTGGTTGAAAAAAAGCAAAATTATCCTTTAAAGTAATATACAGTTATTGGATAAGGTGAACCGATACATTATAGCTATGGTGAATCCAATTCTGATGCTGGTTGCATCCCAATAATCTCCTTTATCCCAAAGTGTGCACTTGTTCACTTACCTTCACTGATTTGAAAGGAAATTACTGATATAAGAAATATGGTGGAAACGCTCTAGCCCATATCAACACCAATCCAATGCTTTTTGGAAATTTGTGGGAGTGAACGAGTGCATACTTTAGGAGAAAGGAGATATTGGGCCAGTGTGTCAAGTTATGTAGCTTGCTGAAATGATAAGGATCAAATTTAGGGGACAGAGAATGTTGGTCATAGGTTCCACTGTATACCTATTTCTGGTTCAAATATAGAGTATAATATTGATCAATATCATGAATAATATAGTGACACACATGCACTGGACAAATCAAAAGGTGTCTTTATCTTCATTGATGTTAATTGACCTACGGCTCAGTGGCCATGGCTATTAATAACCTTTTTGAACAGTATTTGAAAGTGTTGGGAATACTTAGCACCTAAGGCCTGCCCGAGAATAAAGCCTCTTTCATGGGTTTCAAGAGAGCAGACAGACTAGAGTCTAGGACAAACAGTCAGTCTGTGAGTTGAGTGCGAGTTGGGTGGCTTGACTTGAGGCAGCATTACGTCTCACTGTTTATCTGTGATAGGTGACTTGACTGTGCCGCTGTTGAAGGTTTCACGTCAGGGGAGACGGCGTGCAGGCATGGCTTATTGCTGCCTGACAACAGCTGAACCATGGACACTGGATGGCGGCCTCTAAAAACAAACAAGGGAGGCCCGGCGGCTCCATGTGTCACTCTGAACGGACTGGAACGCAGGGACCCCCAAAGCTCCCAGCTCTGTAAACACCAAAGGTTGCTCAACAGTGGAAAAAGGAACCTGTCAAACATGTTGCTTCTTTTTAAAAGTCAATGCTTTATATCATGGCTATGTTTGTGTCAAGTTACTCTTTGATCATGCCATTTAACATAATGGATATTAGTATGGTTGTGTCACATGAAGCAATATTTAAAATGCAAAACAGAGTCAGATTTAGAAATGGTAGGGTGGTGGGTGGGTATGTTAGGGGCCTACTCACCGGATTAAGCCACTCATTAGCAAAGCAAACCATTCTGAAGCTCAGTGACCAAACATTTGAGTTGGATGGACTTAGTCCTTCCTAAACCCCACACTTGGCAGAAGTCACTTGTTTTTTTGCACTGGCTCTATGCACACTCACTGGACTACCCACAGACTCACGCATACTACACTCATACTCCAACACACATACACACACACACACAGACCAACACACACCACAGGAGGTTGGTGGCACCTTAATTGGGGAGGACGGACTCGTGGTAATAGCTGGAGCGAAAAAAGCGTAATGGTATCAAATACATAAAACACATGGTTTCCATGTGTATGATGCCCTTCCATTCGCTCCATTCCAGCAATTATTATGAGCCTTCCTCCCTTCAGCAGCCTCCTGTGACACACATGCACATTGATATCACACACACACACAGACACACTTTCACATATGCTGCTGCTACTCTGTTTATTATCTAGCCTGATTGCCTAGTCACTTTTACCCCTTCCCACATGTACATATTACCTCAATTACCTCGTACCCCTGCACATTGACTCAGTACCGGTACTCCTTGTAAATAGCTTCATTATTGTTATTTGTGTTACTATTCACCCCCCCTCCCCCGCCCCCCGCATTGTTGGGAAAGGGCTTGTTAGTAAGCATTTCACTGTAAAGTCTACACCTGTTATTTTCGACGCATGTGACAAATACATTTTGATTTGACTTCAGGCCTGTCTTCCAGGAGAGTTTACTTTAGTCCTACAGCAAGAGGGCAAACACAGATAGACAATGGGAGTAGTGGCTGCATGTGCTACTACAGCCTGCAATAATCCAACTGTTCAACTTCAGACGAAGGCCAGTCTTTGCTTTTAAGCAGGTGTCCATTTGCCTCTAAATCCTAACTTCTATCCCAAATGCCCAGACAAAAACCTCACTTAAGAGATTTTAGGGGTTCTTAATTATTTTTGTGTGCGTCACAGCTGTTTTATGGCTTTCCAAAGAACAGTCCAACAGCTGATGTTATAATAACCAAATGTTTTGGTTATGTCACGTTGGGCCAGCCTTCAAAGGAGAGGGTCTCCTCACGAGTGTGACTTGGTTGTGCCAGACGCCACGAGGACTTTGGGTGAACCCGTCACAAACACAAATTCGGGTCGTTTGTCATTCGGCTCATAATGCAAAACGAGCTATCCAGACCAGTCATTAAGATTTTTTAGGGCCTATACAGATTTTTGGTGATGGCTAATATTTTATGCTGATATTCATGCTGATATTCAAAAAATTATGTTCATGAGAAATATTCCCAGAGACAGACATTACTGCATTAATATTAAAATCTGTCAAACATTTGACTTTGTTTTTACCAATCTAATTACATAACGGTAATATTTTATTTGAATGGTATGATGGAATCTCTTGATAAAATGGGTAACTCAAGATGGCTAAGGCCTACTCATAATACAGGTGAATGCATATCAGTGGAGGCTCCTCAGATGAGGAAGGGAGGGGACAATCCTACTCAGTGAATTTCAGATTTTAAAAAAATGAAATAAATATATAATTTCTAGATAAAACAATACTAAATTTCACATCACCAAATACCTGATTAAAACACACTGTTTTGCAATGAAGGTCAACCATATCCTCAATAGCACCCTCTAGGGTAGCACCATGGGCTCCTGACTTTGAAAGTTGGGGTGCAAAAAATAATTAGAATTAAAGGGGAATGGAAAAACTTTAGGAAGTAAATCTAAGCAAAGAGATGTATTCAATCCACTAATACTAAACATGTGCATTTAACATAAAAACATCTCTTAATTTAGTATTTTGATCGTCGACAAGGTTTACTTGAGCTATGGTTTAAATTGCCATAGTAACGACTGACGCCAGTGCGGCAGGAATCAGCTAATTGTCTGTGATATTGAGTTTTCGCGCGGCGAGTGAATTGAAGAGTGTGAGGTTAGGTGCGGACAACGAAGATGGCAACAATAAGCAGTAATTCAAACATCAACTGTATAGCGCCAGGCTGTAGGAATTGGCTCCAAAAAAATCACTTGGTAAGCTACCATCAGCCACCCAGGGACCCACAACTTTTGAAGAAGTGGCTCCATGTCCTGAAGAGGAAGGACATGCCAGCTCGAGCTATCAGGATCTGCAGCCAGCACTTCGCAGAGGAAGACTTTGCGATGAAGGGCACTTTCGATGCGGAGAAAAATGGGAATTTCAGAATGGAAAGGAGTCATAGGACTAAGTTAAACGCTCTGCTTGCCCCTCCATTTTCAAGGGTTACGATGTAGGGGTTACCGACCGACCATCATCAACATCGCAGTCTAGCAAAAGCCGGACTGAACGGAGGAGGCAACACGAGTCAATAGATCCTGAGGTAATGTTAACTGATCATGAGTCAAGACTGTTGTTGGACTAGGCTAGCATTAGACACTGGACAGCTAATTGCGTCTGAAGTGTTTTGTGTAACACCCCCCAGCAACTGATGTTAGCAAGCAACTCAACTGCAACTAAAATTGCAACACAGTTTCTTTGTGTAGCCCTGATGTTAGGTAGTTACTGTAGCTAGTTTCCACCTCAGATAGTCAAGTACCGTAATACATTTTGTTGACAGATTTGTTTTTGGAATGTTTTGTTAGCTCCACCTCATTTAGCTAGACTGAAATTGACATAGCTAATGTTGGCTGAAAAATAAATGTCCCTGTATTTGCTGTGTGTGTGTGTTGACATAGCATACAAGACAGGTAGCTTGTTAACGCCAACTGATATATTTGGGTTCAGTTGTCTTAACAAAACGTTTGTTTGTTTTCAGGATGACATCTTAATCCCTGAAAAGATTTTCATCCTGGAGGAGACTGTGCGGGAGGAGGCAGAGGAGGTACATGCACATCCATGTTATTTCTAATTCTATTGTTTATTTCAAGACCCAATCTGTCATCCCTGAGGCCATTTTGGATATAAAATGGACAACATACTGTATATGCAGAGATTCTTGAATATAACTATAGCTTAATAGATGCCTTAATTGTTTTCTACCAAGAGGAAAGAACGGTTAGTACAGCATGCCAAACTGACCTCTGGGTGCCAGAGTGTTCCTGTGCTGCGGTGGAGAAGAGGTATCCTGGGACCTTCACTAAAGAGCTCGAGGCCCAGCTAGATTGCGCTCACGACCATCAGTATACAACCGAGTCCTGCCCCTATACGCCACAGATGGAGCTGACGGAGAATGAGATCAGTGAGGACCAGGACTCGCTGTATGAACCTGAGAGCTCAGAATCACAATCATCACAATGCGAGCCAAGAGATACTATCGAAGAGTGTGTGCAAGATCCAAAATACATAGTCTTTGATAGCATGCTGAAGGAGTTGTTCAATGTCTGCCATTAGCCAGGATGTCGAGCAGGTGTCAGTTCATCCCTGAAAATAAATGGTTTTGCCATCACCATGGAAACAGTGTGTTGTGGGCCACAGGAGGAAGTGGGAGTCCCAGACCAGAGTGGCAAAGTTGTTTGCAGGGAATCTGTTGGTGCCATCAGCGGTCTTCCTTACTGCCGGCTCCCACTCCACATTTGTGGAAACATGTCACCTCCTCAGCCTGGTGTCCATGTCGCTGCGACAGTTCACAAACCAACAGCGCATCTACATTGTGCCAGAGGTTAACCACATGTGGACCCAGCACACGGAGGCCATTCTGGCTACAATTGGTGACAGTCCACTAATTGTATCTGGAGACGGTGTGATTCGCCAGGCCATTGTGCCTCCTTTGGCACTTACACAATCCTGGACTCTGCTTCCCACCTGATCCTCACCCAGGAGATTGTGCATGTGACCGAAGTGAAGAACAGCTACTGGTTGGAGAGGGAGGGATTAGAGAGATCCCTGCAACACATTGAGGTAAGCTATAGCCTAACCTATATTTTCTAGCTAGCCTAAGGGTTGTAAGTGTGTTTTTGGTGGATGTATGAAGAGGACATAGGTACCTTTAGGATAATAATAATAAAAAATAAAAAATATTACTAACAGGCCCCTGGATGCAGTATTGAAACCCTGGTCAATGACATCCAAGTGTGAGGGTGCACTTGAGGGACACGCATGCTAATATCTGGCATGAGTATGACCTGTGGTACATTGCCAAAGGTGTGTGGAACCATCTGGTGGCCATCGGGAATCCAGAGGTACCGTCATACAGTTGAAGTCAGAAGTTTACATACACCTTAGCCAAATACATTTAAACTCAGTTTTTCACAATTCCTGACATTTAATCCTAGTAAAAATTCCCTGTCTTAGGTCAGTTAGGACCACCACTTTATTTTAAGAATGTGAAATGTCAGAATAATAGTAGAGAGAATGATTTATTTCAGCTTTTATTTATTTCATCACATTCCCAGTGGGTCAGAAGTTTACATACACTCAATTAGTATTTGGTAGCATTGCCTTTAAATTGTTTAACTTTGGTCAAACGTTTCGGGTAGCCTTCCACAAGCTTCCCACAATAAGTTGGGTGAATTTTGGCCCATTCCTCCTAACAGAGATGGTGTAACTGGAGTCAGGTTTGTAGGCCTCCTTGCTCACACACAGTTTTTCAGTTCTGCCCACAAATATTCTATAGGATTGAGGTCAGGGCTTTGTGATGGCCACTCCAATACCTTGACTTTGTTGTCCTTAAGCCATTTTGCCACAACTTTGGAAGGATGCTTGGGGTCATTGTCCATTTGGAAGACCCATTTGCGACCAAGCTTTAACTTCCTGACTGATGTCTTGAGATGTTGCTTCAATATATCCACATAATTTTCCTTCCTCATGATGCCATCTATTCTGTGAAGTGCACCAGTCCCTCCTGCAGCAAAAAAAACCCCACAGCATGATGCTGCCACCCTTGTGCTTCACGGTTGGGACGGTGTTCTTCGGCTTGCAAGCAGCCCCCTTTTTCCTCCAAACATAACGATGGTCATTATGGCCAAACAGTTCTATTTTTGTTTCATCAGACCAGAGGACATTTCTCCAAAAAGTACAATCTTTGTCCCCATGTGCGGTTGCAAACCGTAGTCTGGCTTTTTTATGGTGGTTTTGGAGCAGTGGCTTCTTCCTTGCTGAGCGGCCTTTCAGGTTATGTCGATATAGGACTCATTTTACTGTAGATACTTTTGCACCTGTTTCCTCCAGCATCTTCACAAGGTCCTTTGCTGTTGTTCTGGGATTGATTTGCACTTTTCGCACCAAAGTACGTTCATCTCTAGGAGACAGAACAAGTCTCCTTCCTGAGCGGTATGACGGCTGCGTGGTCCCATGGTGTTTACACTATTGTTTGTACAGATGAACGTGGTACCTTCAGGCGTTTGGAAATTGCTCCCAAGGATGAACCAGACTTTTCTGAGGTCTTGGCTGATTTCTTTTGATTTCCCCATGATGTCAAGCAAAGAGGCACTGAGTTTGAAGGTAGGCATTGAAATACAGTGGGGAAAAAAAGTATTTAGTCAGCCACCAATTGTGCAAGTTCTCCCACTTAAAAAGATGAGAGAGGCCTGTAATTTTCATCATAGGTACACGTCAACTATGACAGACAAATTGAGAAAAAAAATCCAGAAAATCACATTGTAGGATTTTTAATGAATTTATTTGCAAATTATGGTGGAAAATAAGTATTTGGTCACCTACAAACAAGCAAGATTTCTGGCTCTCACAGACCTGTAAGTTCTTCTTTAAGAGGCTCCTCTGTCCTCCACTCGTTACCTGTATTAATGGCACCTGTTTGAACTTGTTATCAGTATAAAAGACACCTGTCCACAACCTCAAACAGTCACACTCCAAACTCCACTATGGCCAAGACCAAAGAGCTGTCAATGGACACCAGAAACAAAATTGTAGACCTGCACCAGGCTGGGAAGACTGAATCTGCAATAGGTAAGCAGCTTGGTTTGAAGAAATCAACTGTGGGAGCAATTATTAGGAAATGGAAGACATACAAGACCACTGATAATCTCCCTCGATCTGGGGCTCCACGCAAGATCTCACCCCGTGGGGTCAAAATGATCACAAGAACGGTGAGCAAAAATCCCAGAACCACACGGGGGGACCTAGTGAATGACCTGCAGAGAGCTGGGACCAAAGTAACAAAGCCTACCATCAGTAACACACTACGCCGCCAGGGACTCAAATCCTGCAGTGCCAGACGTGTCCCCCTGCTTAAGCCAGTACATGTCCAGGCCCGTCTGAAGTTTGCTAGAGTGCATTTGGATGATCCAGAAGAGGATTGGGAGAATGTCATATGGTCAGATGAAACCAAAATATAACTTTTTGGTAAAAACTCAACTCGTCGTGTTTGGAGGACAAAGAATGCTGAGTTGCATCCAAAGAACACCATACCTACTGTGAAGCATGGGGGTGGAAACATCATGCTTTGGGGCTGTTTTTCTGCAAAGGGACCAGGACGACTGATCCGTGTAAAGGAAAGAATGAATGGGGCCATGTATCGTGAGATTTTGAGTGAAAACCTCCTTCCATCAGCAAGGGCATTGAAGATGAAACGTGGCTGGGTCTTTCAGTATGACAATGATCCCAAACACACCGCCCGGGCAACGAAGGAGTGGCTTCGTAAGAAGCATTTCAAGGTCCTGGAGTGGCCTAGCCAGTCTCCAGATCTCAACCCCATAGAAAATCTTTGGAGGGAGTTGAAAGTCCATGTTGCCCAGCGACAGCCCCAAAACATCACTGCTCTAGAGGAGATCTGCATAGAGGAATGGGCCAAAATACCAGCAACAGTGTGTGAAAACCTTGTGAAGACTTACAGAAAAGTTTTACCTGTGTCATTGCCAACAAAGGGTATATAACAAAGTATTGAGAAACTTTTGTTATTGACCAAATACTTATTTTCCACCATAATTTGCAAATAAATTCATAAAAAATCCTACAATATGATTTTCTGGATTTTTTTCCTCATTTTGTCTGTCATAGTTGACGTGTACCTATGATGAGAATTACAGGCCTCTCTCATCTTTTTAAGTGGGAGAACTTGCACAATTGGTGGCTGACTAAATACTTTTTTTCCCCACTGTATATATTCTTAAATTCCATTCCTTACTATATTTGTGTGTATAGGGTATATGTTGTGTTGTTAGATATTACTGCAAGAAGCACAAGCATTTCGCAACACCCGCAATAACATCTGCTAAACACGTGTATGTGACAAATACATTTTGGGTTAGGTTTGGGTGGCGGTCTGTGTATATTTGTAAACAACAGCTGGTGCACGAAATCTAATATTAAGTAAGTCTCAAGGTTTTGCTCGCCTGAGGTAGAGTATCTCATTATAAGCTGTAGACCACACTATTTACCAAGAGATTTTATCTACATTTATCGTAGCCGTTTACCACCACAAACTGATGCTGGCACTAAGACCGCACTCAATGAGCTGTATAAGGCCATAAGCAAACAGGAAAACGATCATCCAGAGGCGCCGCTCCTAGTGTCTGGGGACTTTAATGCAGGGAAACTTAAATCAATTTTACCTAATTTCTACCAGCATGTTAAATGTGCAACCAGAGAAAAAAAATACTCTAGACCACCTTTACTCCACACACAGAGACGCGTACAAAGTTCTCCCTCGCCCTCCATTTGGCAAATCTGACCATAACTCTATCCTCCTGATTCCTGCTTACAAGCAAAAACTAAAGCAGGAAGCACCAGTGACTCGGTCAATAAAGAAGTGGTCAGAAGACGCAGATGCTAAGCTACAGGACTGTTTTGCTAGCACAGACTGGAATATGTTCCGGGATTCTTCCAATGGCATTGAGGAGTACACAATATCAGTCACTGGCTTCATCAATAAGTGCATCGATGATGTCGTCCCCACAGTGACCGTACATACAGTGGGGAAAAAAAGTATTTAGTCAGCCACCAATTGTGCAAGTTCTCCTACTTAAAAAGATGAGAGATGCCTGTATTTTTCATCATAGGTACACGTCAACTATGACAGACAAATTGAGAAAAGAAATCCAGAAAATCACATTGTAGGATTTTTAATGAATTTATTTGCAAATTATGGTGGAAAATAAGTATTTGGTCACCTACAAACAAGCAAGATTTCTGGCTCTCACAGACCTGTAACTTCTTCTTTAAGAGGCTCCTCTGTCCTCCACTCGTTACCTGTATTAATGGCACCTGTTTGAACTTGTTACCAGTATAAAAGACACCTGTCCACAACCTCAAACAGTCACACTCCAAACTCCACTATGGCCAAGACCAAAGAGCTGTCAAAGGACACCAGAAACAAAATTGTAGACCTGCACCAGGCTGGGAAGACTGAATCTGCAATAGGTAAGCAGCATGGTTTGAATAAATCAACTGTGGGAGCAATTATTAGGAAATGGAAGACATACAAGACCACTGAT